CCCCCCCCCCCTTCCTGCTGGTTGCCCACCCTTTCTGGCTCGCTGACCCCTCTCTGTGAGCTGGCTCAGACTTGCAAACCCAGGAGAAAACCTCGATTTTTATGGGGTTTGTTATTGTTGGGGTTTTGTTTTGTTTTGCTGGTTGATACCTTACGTGGTGTCAGGCTGGTCCCAGAGCTGGCCTGAGGCAGCCACCCTGGGTGATGCTGAGCCGTTAAAGCAGTGGAGCCTTTCTTCACCTTTTGTGCCAGCAGTAGCTTTTGCCTAAAGTGCCTGCTCGGTGCTAAGCAGGTGACAGAGTTGGGCAGGGTTTAAGAACAAATTCCTGCTTTTTTGTTTGTTTGTTTTCCCCTCACCAGGAGTTACCAGCACAAGGACAGTGGCACGTTTCAGCCTGACAGAAGGAAATGCTGTGTGGTGGTGGCCTGGCTGGAGGCTGCAGGGGGCTTGGCAACTCTTGCTGTTGTTTCCTCCTCGCCGCTCTTGTTTCCTCCTCGCCGCTCTTGTTTCCTCCTCGCCGCTCTTGTTTCCTCCTCCCCGCTCTTGGTTGCTCCTCACCGCTCTCTCCTCGCCGCTCTTGTTTCCTCCTCGCCGCTCTTGTTTCCTCCTCGCCGCTCTTGTTTCCTCCTCGCCGCTCTTGTTTCCTCCTCGCCGCTCTTGTTTCCTCCTCGCCGCTCTTGTTTCCTCCTCGCCGCTCTTGTTTCCTCCTCGCCGCTCTTGTTTCCTCCTCGCCGCTCTTGTTTCCTCCTCGCCGCTCTTGTTTCCTCCTCGCCGCTCTTGTTTCCTCCTCGCCGCTCTTGTTTCCTCCTCGCCGCTCTTGTTTCCTCCTCGCCGCTCTTGTTTCCTCCTCGCCGCTCTTGTTTCCTCCTCGCCGCTCTTGTTTCCTCCTCGCCGCTCTTGTTTCCTCCTCGCCGCTCTTGTTTCCTCCTCGCCGCTCTTGTTTCCTCCTCGCCGCTCTTGTTTCCTCCTCCTTGTTTGGCCTGACTCCTGCTCTGTGAATAGAAGGGGACTGTGCAGGACTGTCTTGTCTGAGCTCTCTGCTTGTTTTCTTTTGTTTGAGCTGAAATTCAGGTATTTCTTTACACAGGAGCAGCAGGATACATTTCCATTACAAAAGGTGTTGAAAGTGGCAGATGTGGAGAGAGAGTTTGGCAACTACCTCTACTCTACGCAGGACTTTAAGGATGCCAAAGCCAGATACAAAAGGGTACGACACTGGGGGGGGGGGAAAGAAGCGTTTTCCATTGTGAAAAGCTGTGAAAGTAGTGATTATGAAGTGCTAGCTCACCGTAACAAGTACAATTTGGAGATCAAATAACTTTGTTATGTTTGTCACACATAGTTTGTTATTTAAGAACAGATCTTGGACACCTGCTTTTGTGTGAGCAGCAGGGGTAAAGGAAGGAGGAGAAGGGTTGGCGGAAAGAGGCAGAACCCTTCAGGCCAGCTCCCTGCGTGGCTGAGTGCGGAACTGGAGCCTTTCAGGTCAGCTTTTGCTGGGAGGCACAGCGCAGCGTGGCCTTGTGTCGCAGCAGCACGCTGAGGAGCGCTTTGAGGAGGAGTCTAGAATCCCTTTAGTCTGGAAACGGGTGTCACTGGCACCCTGGGCACTCTGACTTTATTTTTAGCCTTCCAGTTGGTGGTCACGGAATAGTTGAGGTTGGTAGGAACCTCTGGAGGTTGTCTGGTCCCACCCCCTGCTGAAGGAAGGTCAGCCCCAGCAGGAGGTTTGCCCAGGACTGTATCCATCCAGGTTTTGAATGGCTCCAAGGATGGAGACTCCACAGCCTCTCCAGGCAGGGAAATACTTGGTTATTCCCAAACTGGAATGAATCTGCCCTTGCACCAGATGCAGTGAGGTTTTGTGAGATTTTTTTCTTCCCTCCATTCAGTTGCTTTTTCTTGGTATTTTTGTGACAAAAATCATTTAAATTGCCTTTCTCCCTGTAAGATTCTGCTTCATCTTTGTCCTTAAAACTTGCGTCCTGGGTGTCATTTATTTTATTCTGCTGCTTTCAAGTTCCTCGATAGGTTCCTAAACCCGTAGTCTTGTGGCCAAGCTGGCTAGTCACGCTGATAATGCCATGCAGAATACCCAGAGTTTTGATTATTGTTATTTTTAACTGACCTAGGTGAACAGAAATGTGGGTGTGACTGTCTGAGATGGATTTTTCACTTTCCAGAACAGATTTGTTGTGCGCTAGTTCTTTTTTTCCCCTGTCTGCTCAGGCATTCTCCGTCCTTGATCGCAGCCCTTCCAGTGAGGCAGAGCGGTGTCAGATCAATGCTTCCAGGCTGCTGGTGCTCCTGAATCTCTCGCTTACTTACCTGAAACTGGAATGTCCTGCCAAAGCTTTGGCCTACGGGGAGAAGGCCTTGGAGATCGACCGAAGGAACGTCAAAGCGCTGTTCAGGTGTGGCAAGGTGGGCAAAAATAATTCCCTCCGGTAGCCGCGTCCAGGAATACCCCAGCCTGCCTAACTGTGGGGAGAACCTCGAGTGAACCGAGGGGAACCACTGGATTCTGGGCCAGGCCTCCTAAGCTGCAGCAGCGGCAGCCACGGGGGTTTATCTGCACCTGACCTTTTGGAAAACCTCTCTCTGTAAATCCGCCGCACGGCTCTTCCCGTGGGGGGGTTCCTGAGGTACCTGGGGGGGGTCTTGGAAATGTCTGTGGTTGCACGTGGGTGAGGCCTGAAGGTTGGCAGCGAGTCTGTCTTTGTCTTGCGATCTTCTCTCGATGGCAGGCTTGTCTCTGCATGAAGGAATACGAAAAAGCCCGGGATTTCCTGGTCAGAGCTCAGCACGTAGAACCGTTTAACCGCGATATTAACAACGAGCTGAAAAAGTTGGCGAGGTAAGAGAACTCCTCTCCATCCCTGTGGAAGAGAGTGCTTAGAGGGGCTGGAACACCCACTCAAAAATATTTAAAAATGGTTAAACAAACAAACAAAAAAACCCAACTCGAAACACTGAGTTAGTAATTGCCTTGGGAAAGTGCAGAAGGTTTATCTTAGTGTGGAGACGGTTGATTCAAAGGTTTTGCAGGCGCAGTGGTTACAGGTGATGGGTGAGAAGCTCAGAGCACCCACACTTGATGTACAGGTTCTCTGAGGGGGTGTGTGTGTTACACTCCTTGTGAGTAGGTGGGTCAGGGTGATGGCAGGGGCTGCTGAAATGCCTCCAAACCAAGGAAATGCAGTCAGCTAGAACTCAAGCTGATGATGTTCTGGATAAATACGTATGATTTTCGTTCCCTTAAAGGTAGGTGGGTTAATTACAGCAGCTCTTCTGCACTGCAAGTGCTTCTGTGTACGATGCTACAAATACTGATGTTCGTTAAAAGTGAATTTCTTGCTGTCTTGGCGGTAATAAGTGAGCAATCCTGAAGGCAAACTTTCCCTTCGCCTGCAGGCTGAGCACAGCACAATCCTGCCAGCTTTAGTCATGCCTTAGCCCCACCAAAACATGACTAACACAAGCCTCTACCCTCGTTCTGTTCTCCCCTTTGAAATGAGCAGAAGCCCTAGCTGGTTCCCAACGGCGTGTGCTGTACTCCTGGCACAGACAGCGGCGCGGTCCCCAGCCTCAGAGGTCCCAAAGCAGCCCTTGAATACGCCCCCTCTGTTGTGTGTTGCTGCTGGGCATTTGCAGGATGGTTTGTGGGCAGCAGTGGCATCGCTTGTGTGAGGAGTTGGCGTGGCTGGAAAAGCCGGGCTCGTGGGCTGAGGGCCTCCACCGGGCGGCGTTTCGGTAGAGGGCTGTCAGGTCGGTGTCCTGTGCAGCCGCGCTGTCTTTGGGATAACAGCAGTTCTTCCAACCTGTTCTGGTACTTCTGGAGTACAAAGAACCCGAAGGCAGCGTTAGCTGCTGGTCTGGAAATCTGAAGTAAACCACTTGTGTTCGTCCTCATCCGCCTCTGGGGCCGTAGCCGCCCAATTGCGAGGCGAGTGCCTCGTTACCAGGTGGAGCTGGCTGCTCGGGGGGGCTTGGTGCCTGGGTACAGAGCCGTGGTACAGTGCGGGAAGTCCTGATTTTAGAAGCCTCTGCTCCCTTAGGCTCATTCGAAGTAGGTTGGCAGGTAAAGGAGAGATCCTGCTGGTGACCTGGAGGGGGTGCTGCCAGGAAGCAACAAGGCCTTCGGGGGGGCGGTGGGCAGGGTTGTCGGCTCTGGCTCTGGAGACAGCAGCACGTCGGGCCAAGGCGTGGGTCAGTGAGCTGGGTACGTGTTCAACCACTCTTGTCTGGGAGTTTCTGCTTCAGCCCCGGTTAAAAGTGGGGTAATGTGCTGGTTTGGGCTAAACCAGAACTAATTCTGCTTTAGTGCTTTAACTTTTCAGTTCAGTCCCCTCTAACTAACGGCACTGTCTGAAACAGCAGCACGTTCTTCCAGACAGTGACTGCTCCAGCAGTGCCAACCCCTGGTGTTTATAGCTCGTACCAAGGAATGGGATGCAGAGAGGCCCTGGATTAGACTTGTACTTGTAGCGACCAAGGTCACTGCTGAGTCTTGTACCCGTGTTGGGGTGTTGGGAGTGAAAAGGGTCACAGGCACGAAAAAGGCCGCCCCTGCAGGGAGGAGCGAACCGGACAGGTGACCCAAACCTGACCCACAGTGTTCCATCCCGTCATGGTCAGTGTAAAGCTGAGGGATCACGAGGGTCTCCCTCTCTTCTTCGATGGCGACATCTGAGGAGGACTCTGTCTGTCCTTCTGTCATCGATCCCGACCCGTGCATCCCTGAATCCAGGGCCTGAGTCCAGCTCCTGCATCCCGTCCCTGTCTGCTGCCCAGTCCAGCCTGGGACTGCCCCAGTGCCAGCCCTGCAGCGTGGTGGTGGTCTGATTTAGCCCAAACCAGGACAGGTATTTTTTGCTTGTACTGTGACAAAGAGTGAAATTAGTATAAAAGAGATGAGGACAACGTTACTGGGTGGTGTTCATTGTGCCATACCTCAGTCTGGATCCCGTGGTGTTGTCAGACTGCGTTGCCTGAGAAAATTCGTAATTTGATTTGGCAAATGCTTCAGAAGTGGAATATGAATCAAAATCTTGTTCTTAGAGGCTTTTCACTTCCTGACAGAGCACACTTATATTTTTGCAAAAGGGGAATGTTGTCTGTAATCAACAGCTACCTTTTGCTGTCTAACCCAAAACTTCGAAAAGCGTCTGTTCAGCAGCTGAACCACGTTCTGGGCGAAATTCAGTGGAGCAGAATCCAGGGGGAGGGTTTTGTGGGACGCGTGTCTGGTACCAGCTGTAGCCGTCTTGTTGATGCAGATCCTGCTGTTGGACTTGGCAGTTGCGTTGGAAGGCTCGCCCTGCGTCCAAATCCAGAACAAAATGGGGTTGTTCGGATACCTGGCACGAATCTGCGCCTCCAAATGAGGGGCTCTTGGGTTTCCTGCCGTGGTAGGCACGTGAGCGTGCCATCCACGGGCTGGGTGGGCATGCCTGGCCTGCTCGGTGTGCACGCTTGTGGCAACATCTGTCTGAGACTTCACAGAAGAGACTTGCTGGGCTGGGGTTTCGCTGAACAAAACACTTTGAGGTTCTGGACCCAGAGATGCTGATGGTAGGGGGCTGAGAGAGCATTAGCCAGCGTCACCCTTGTGCTGTTTCTGGTGTGTTGCAACAAAAAAACCCCTTTGCTTTTGACCTTATATGGTAGCAGAGGCAGGAAAGCTGACGATGTGGGCAGCTATTGATCCCTGGGACGGTGCCCAGACTGAGTCACCCTCTGGCTTCAGGGATTCCTCACCAGTGAGACCTTGTTGCCGCTGAGGTGAGAGCACAGGGTGCAGAGGATGCTGCGCTTGGGAGAAGCAGGGATTCAAATGGAGCAGTCTGGAAGCTTCTGCCACGCTGACGTGTCGCCGGCAGGGAAGTGAGAATGGAGGCGGAAGCATCTGCCCCGTCATCCTCTTAGTCCAGACACCCATCCCTGCTCTCTCCCACCCGTCCTCTGCCCAGATGCGGCGTCAGCAGCAGATATCCTGGAGGGGGGCGCTTGGATGCTCTCCTGCTGGGTGCTGGTGGAGCTCACGCAAGGAGTGGCACAAGTGAGGAGACACGAAACTAGACCACAGGCTACAGGTGGGGGTTCCTCTGCGTCGCCACGCGCTTGCGAAACTGCTGTAGAAAGCACCTGGCTACCGAAAGTCAAATGATCTGCTTCGTTAATAGTCACCAGTGAAGCAGAGACCCGAGGTCTAGGGATAAGGCACAACGTTTCCAGCTCTCCTTCCCTGACGTGGCAGAAAGAAGGGCTTGGAGGAGCCGAGTCTTTGCTACCAGCACGCTCTTACGTTAGGCTAATTTATTTATAGGGAAGAAATAACGCCTGGTTTCTGGTTGTGCGCTGACAGTTGGGTGGGCAGTCCCCAGCCCCTGATGCCGTGCTGTGCTCTACCTTGCAGCTGCTACAAGGACTACGTGGAAAGGGAGAAAGAAATGTGCTGCCGAATGTTTGCCGCCCTCAACTCTTCTGACTGACCAGAAATAAAGGTAATAATGTTGTAAAAAAAAAGGCTGAGGTTTCCCCAAACCCCTGTCGTGTCTGACCTTTTCAAGTGGGGAACCTGCTTCTCTTCTGCATTTTGGAGGCAAAATGTCAGGAGCTTGTGGAGGGGAAGGGGCAGGAGGGTGGGCTGATAGGCTGCTACATCCTGGGCTTGGGGAATGTTCCCTGCAAGGCAAGCTGGTCTGGGACAGGAACCTGAAACTGGCAGCGCTCGAGGTAAGTTGGGTTTTGTTGTTTCCTGTGCTGCTCTTCTCGAGCCGTTCCTTGTCAGAGCCAGGGGCAGAAAGAGCTGTGTAGTCTTGTTTCTCTGCCAATTAAAAGAAACAAAAAAAAATTGTTCCTGTCAAACTTAAGAATTGGATTTCCTCCTCCCCTCCAGCGCTTCTGTCTGGAGCTGTTGGAATGCCTCACTTCAGAAAAATCTAAATATTTCATTTCTGGGTTTTTTTTTTGAAATATTAAAAAACCTGTTTGTATAGAAAATTTCAAATAGATGTTTTGGACTCTTTAAAGCCTTACATCTTCTCGCAAAATTGACAGGTTTATAAATGCACAAAGGCTCTTTGATCATTCTTTTTTTTTTTTTTTT